CCAATTGCAGTCGTCAACAAGTTTACCACACCTATCATCCAATCACCCATTCCCACCACCCTTCTGAGTAATACCCCTCCCCACCCTCTCACTATATATGAAGGTCTGGTGACTTCTGTTTCAGTGTATCTGAAGAGGTGTGCATGCACACGAAAGCTCATACCAAGAACAAACTTAGTTGGTCTCTAAGGTGCTACTGGAAGGAATTTTTTTATTTTGCTTCTCTCTAAGTTCAAGTCAAGAAAAGTGCTTCAGAGTGCACTATAACTACATCCAATTGGTTTTCCCCATAGCCCTCCATTGGGCAGACTGAAACATGGTGCATGGATGTGTGTCCATTTCTTGGATTCATGAAATGGCTCCATTATATAGCATTGCCTTTGAAGTGATGTGGAACAATATCAAAGTTCTGTCCGTGATGACTTATTTATTCACACATGCAAGTCCCCACTTGATGCTGCAGTCATAGTGTGAGAGATTGTCATATATTGTTCCTCCCACTCAATTTTTGCGGGAGTTGCAGATTTAGCTTAGGTTCATATTGGCAGGAAATGTATCTGAATCTTACCCCTTACGGATGTTTAGTTCTCTGTATGCAGTGGTTCGTACAACTGGAGCTGCAGAAACAGCAGCCGGACCACCAACAGAATCTACAAGAATCTGGATTTCATGGGAAGGCGAGTAGCAAGAAACAAGGTGATGAAAATTCTCCTGCAAAAAGCAGTGCGAATTGTGTCTACAGTGCCAAGGAGGGGGGGCAAGTAACCACACACAGAATGTAGATGAGTAAAACTTTTATTGAGTACAGCTCACAGTGCTTGGCATACCACCAAGCCAGCCTGAATGTTAGGGAAACATTGATTTCAGGCCCACTATGGTGCCACTGAAAACCAATAGGATGGTCCTACAATGCAGACTGGGAGTATAATGGTCATCCCAGCCCTCTGAACTGGGACCAAGGCCTTGAAGGACCCCCCCATTGGAAAGTGAGGTGGCCTCCCCCACTTACCCCTATGTGAATGCAGCCCAATGCCTCTAGTGCACACAAGAAGTTGTGATTAATTACAGTGGTACCTCGGGTTAAGAACTTAATTCGTTCTGGAGGTCCATTCTTAACTTGAAACTATTCTTAACCTGAGGGACCACTTTAGCTAATGGAGCCTCCCACTGCCACCGAGCGATTTCTGTTCTCATCCTGAAGCAAAGTTCTTAATCCAAGGTACTATTTCTGGGTTAGCAGAGTCTGTAACCTGAAGCGTCTGTAACCTGAAGCGTCTGTAACCCGAGGTACCACTGTATTATAATAATGAGGACTTTTTTCAGCCGGAAATCACCAGAACTCAGTTCCGGAACCTCTCAGGTGGGTGCCATTGCCATTATAAGAGAACAAGGGAGGTGTTCATGGTGAGTTCTGGCACCTCTTTTTCTAGAAAAAGAGCACTGATATTAATTATTGTTATTTATTAAAATTGTATACCGCCTTTCATCCCTAAATCTCAGGGTACCTCACAACATAAAATTACAATATGAAAAACACAAAATACATAATAAAAGTAAGAACGAAAACAAACCCATAACCACCCACCCCACAGCACATTTAAAAGGGAATCGGATGATGGGGCAGGGGAGCCAACTTGGGCCACAGGTTATGGGTGTCCAGCATGCATGACATCATGAATTACAGTGGTATCTCGGGTTACATATGCTTCAGGTTACATACGCTTCAGGTTACAGACTCTGCTAACCCAGAAATATTACCTCGGGTTAAGAATTTTGCTTCAGGATGAGAACAGAAATTGCACAGTGGCAGTGGGAGGCCCCATTAGCTAAAGTGGTGCTTCAGGTTAAGAACAGTTTCAGATTAAGAACGGACCTCTGGAACGAATTAAGTACTTAACCCAAGGTACCACTGTAATGTCATAATGTGACATTGTGACATCAGGTTCCAAGGTCTCAGAAGGCCTCAGAAAGCGTCTCCAAGGCCTTGAGAAGCAGCAAGGCCTGTCTGAAGAGGAATGATTTCACCTAGTGTCTAAAGGTGTATAATGAATCACGGCAGGGATGAGGAAACTTTTTCAGCCTGAAGGCCATATTGCCTTCTAAGCAACATTCTGGGGGCCACGCAACAGTGGTGAGCAGGGACAGGAGCAGAAGTAGGCAGGAGAAAATAATTTTACCTTTGTACACACTCTCACCACCCCCCCCGCACGCTCACATATGCCTCTCTTATGCATCCAGACGAGCCTAGGGTGAAGCCCAAATAAAAATACAGGCAAATTTTCTTCCCTGCAGCTGTTTGCCTATGGAAAATTACTGCACAATAAACCAGGGTGGGCAGGTAGGGAATCGGGTGGTGGCAATGCCAAGCATGCAAGGCAGACCCAGGAGTGAGCCAGAGGAACAGCTGTCACAGCTAACCGGTTCCCTAGGTATAACCTCCTCACAGCATAGGCGATAGGGACCTGGAACCTGCGCTACCTTACCATTGCTAGGCCTTCGTTTCTTTTCTCCTTTCTTGACACAGAAACTTCGAAGGTGTACTTTTCTCAATCAGTATCTAATACCCTTTTTTGCTCCCTTGCCTGACTTTAATGCCTTTACGCTTCTTAGAAGAGGGACCTTCCGATCAATGAGTTCAATATCAATTTGCCCACACAAGTTGTTTTTCCCCCCCTCATGGTAATAAAAGTTACCACTTAAATAGTGACCATTCCTCTAGTTTTATGTTAGCTTTCTCTGAGGTTCAGCTATCGATCAATATATTGACAATCTTTCCCTGTGCTTGCCAGTCTCTACGCAATATTCGCTCCTTGCCCACGGACAAGTAATTGATTTCTCCCTTCTTTTTTGAGGTGTGCAGACTGCCACCCTGAGACATCTTGCTTTTACTCATGGAAGTGCTTTGTAATGGACAATAAATAGCCAGCTCTTTAATTTCTTGTTAGGCTTATGCCTTTGCAGTGTTGGCCACAAGATGCATTTGGAACTTCCTCTTTAGCTGCCCAAAAAACACCTTGCACTGTTGGGCCTGATTCAGTTTCCTGGTTTTTTTCAGCATTCAGAATATTTTGTAGAAGGCAGAATGAGAAACAAGTGTTTGAGGATATTGGTGCAATGCACACAGTTTCATCCCCTTCGTCACACAACCATCCCAATTTTCTCAATTGCCTGGAGACAATAACCTAGTTTATATATTGGGAATCATTTGGAGATGATCTTCCAAGGCAGGAAGCCATTGGGCATCTTGGGGTAGAAGAGCTTTTTGTATGAATTGGTACCATCATGTGGGCATTAATACTCACAAAGCCAACATAATCAGCACAATTACAGTGTGCCCTCCTTTTTTGTAAGCTGCTAATTATATTGGTTCAAAATTGGGAAAGGAGTACGACAAGGCTGTATATTGTCTCCCTGCTTATTTAACTTACATGCAGAATTCATCATGCAAAAGGTTGGGCTGGATGAATCCCTAGCTGGAATTAAGATTGCCATAAGAAATATCAACAACCTCAGATATGCAGATGACACAACCTTGATGGCAGAAAGTGAGGAGGAATTAAAGAACCTTTTAATGAGGGTGAAAGAGGAGAGCGCAAAATATGGTCAACATCAAAAATACGAAGATCATGGCCATCGGGCCCATCGCCTCCTGGCAAATAGAAGGGGAAGAAAAGAAGGCAGTGAGAGGTTTTACTTTCTTGGGCTCCATGATCACTGCAGATGGTGACAGCAGCCATTAAATTAAAAGAGGCCTGCTTCTTGGGAGGAAAGCAATGACAAACCTAGACAGCATCTTAAAAAGCAGAGACATCACCATGCTGACAAAGGTCCGTATAGTTAAAGCTATGGTTTTCCCAGTAGTGATGTATGGAAGTGAGAACTGGATCATAAAGCAGGTTGATTGCCAAAGAATTGATGCTTTTGAATTATGGTGCTGGAGGAGACTCTTGAGAGTCCCATGGACTGCAAGAAGATCAAACCTATCCATTCTGAAGGAAATCAGCCCTGAGTGCTCACTGGAAGGACAGATCCTGAAGCTGAGGCTCCAATACTTTGGCCACCTCATGAGAAGAGAAGAGTCCCTGGAAAAGACCCTGATGTTGGGAAAGATGGAGGGCACAAGGAGAAGGGGCCGACAGAGGACGAGATGGTTAGATAGTGTTCTCGAAGCTACCAGCATGAGTCTGACCAAACTGCGGGAGGGAAGACAGGAGTGCCTGGCATGCTGTGGTCCATGGGGTCACGAAGAGTCGGACACGACTAAACGACCAAACAACAACAACAATTATATTGCAGCATCCCCATTTACAGCTCCCGCATACACTAGTGCCAAAATGATGGAAACCTTTTGGGGAAAGTGTATTTCTGAGGTCTGAGGGTTCATAACACCACTTTTTTTGGAGTAAAACCATAAAATTCTATATAGATGGAAATATGCAGTAGCTTTCCCTTCATTTCAATGTAGCCAGTTAGCATGAGTGTTTAGAGAGCATATCAACCTAAGCAAGTTGTGCTTCCTTTTTCTGGTTACTTGGCTATAACCTTTGATGGAATACAGATATTTGAACAAGCTTTGCTGCATTACATTCTTCATTAAATTATATTTCCATTGGTATATAATTCCATGGTATTACTCCAAAAAAGTGGTGTTATGAGCCATCAAACCTCGGAAACACACTTTCCCCAAAAGGTTTCTACAATTTTGGCCACTAGTGTATACTGCCTGTAAATCACTGTGGTTGGGCTGCCTCTCCCAGAGGCAACCAAACTGTGACTGCTGGATATAGGAGCTCTGCATGATTGTTCACTTTCTACACTTGGAAGGAGCTGTCTGCTATATTATTTAACTCATTTATTTAAGGTACTTAAATATTGCTTTTCAGGGGGATGTAACAATCTACAGCAAGGAGATTGTATCCTTCCAGGAGCAGAACGCTCGGGGAAAGCCTTGCTCAGGCTTCTTTCCATGACGCATTACACCAGTACTGTTCTAGAGAAGATATAGCTCAGTTGGTAAAGCATGAGACTCTTAATCTGAGGGTCATGGGTTCGAGCTCCATGTTGGGTGAAAGATTCTGCACTACAGGGGGTTGGACTAGATCAGGGGTCAGCAAACTTTTTCAACCACTGTCCCTCAGACCTTGTGGGGGGCTGGAATATATTTTTTTGGGGAGGGGAAATGAACGAATTCCTATGCCCCACAAATAACCCAGAGATGCATTTTAAATAAAAGGACACATTCTATTCATGTAAAAACACGCTGATTCCCGGACCGTCCGCGGGCCGGATTTAGAAGGTGATTGGGCTGGATCTGGCCCCCGGGCCTTAGTTTGCCTATCCATGGACTAGATGATACTCATGGTCCCTTCCAACTCTACAGTCCTGTGTTTCTGTGGAAGTACAAATTATACAGCTTGCATCTCACTGAAATGTTAAGGATGTTACCTCGGTTGCATGGCTTCAGACTACAGGGAAGGCTCCTGTCTATACAAGTAAAATACAGTGGTACCTCGGGTTAAGAACTTAATTCGTTCTGGAGGTCCATTCTTAACTTGAAACTGTTCTTAACCTGAGGTACCACTTTAGCTAATGGAGCCTCCCGCTGCCGGTGCGCCGCCAGAGCACGATTTCTGTTCTCATCCTGAAGCCAAGTTCTTAACCCAAGGTACTATTTCTGGGTTAGCGGAGTCTGTACCTGAAGCGTCTGTAACCTGAAGCATCTGTAACCCGAGGTACCACTGTAACTAAATGTTAGGAAGAATGGGAAACATTTAGATATCTAGTCTAGATATCTGATATCTAATCATCTCAATGCAGGAGTTTTTGGTTTATTTTACTGCTGTGAATGAGCATTCGGTCATATACCGACTAAAGCAGCACATCTCAGATTTAAGTTTACTGCCACACTGAGAACTATGCATATCATCATTGTCAATGGGCCCAACGCCTCCAAGAACTTTCTGGAGACTTCCGTTTGTCAGCCATATTTCTTAGTCCATAGGACTCAAAAACACGACTTAATGAGAGAGAAGATGTACCAAGATTTCGAAAAATGAGCTTCTGGCCTGTTCAGTTTTAGTTCACTGATTTGATCCAATCAAATTTCCTTTCTTTCCTCTCTCCTTCCCTACCATTAAAAATAAAGAGCCCTGAGTATGGTCTGATTCCCGCCCCCTCCAAAAAGTAACAAACAATTTCCCACATAGATAATTTTTTTCTGATTAACATGATGTTCTCTTCCTCTGTAAGAATTTAGTCCTGTATGTGAGCTGCAGAGCTATCTTTTAATGATCTGAGTCAAAAGTTATGTAGGCAGTTCTCTGAGTTATAGCCATTTGGCAGCTTGTCACGCTCTTATATGTAATTGCAATGACAGTCTCTCCCGCAGAAATGGGCATTACTGTTAAAGGCCCCTTCAGAGGAGTCGGTTTACGGGGGCTGATTGGTACAAAAAATTAATGGTAACCCATCTGTGCATGTATCCCCATTTCCTCTTGGCTATTTCATCATTTCACAGAATGTTGTTCGTTTTAATATATCAGATTTTAAGGCTGAAAGTGTATCCTCATTTGTTTTAATGATCCCTAGTTTAGGCACACTGAGGCTAGGATAGTGCTGTGTTTGATCAGTGAAACTGATCAAAAATTTGTATCCACGAAAGCGTCTCTGATATTTTATTGCATCAAATGGGGAATATTATTCAGAGAGCTTACCTCCCGGAAAACTAGGTTCCTTCCCTGCCCTGCAGGTACAGTCAATCGTGGCATTAAAGAATGTAGCTTGTTTCATATGACTATGGAGCAACTCCCAAGTAATGCACAGGAACACCAAAGCCAGGGTGACTTCATCTTAACAGAATGAGAGTCATCCAGGAAACTGGAAGCATGCTAAAAGTACAGTAACATTTAAAGAAATAGTACCTCTCACTGTCAACCAACATTACTGGCAATGGATGGCAGCTTTCCATCTTTGGTTCTAAGATATTTTCTTTAAAAGGAAGAGATTGGGACTATCGTGAAGGACTCCCTTCTTAACTACAAACTCGAATTAGATTTGTCATAGAATCATAGTATCATAGAGTTGGAAGAGACCACAAGGGCCATCGAGTCCAACCCCCTGCCAAGCAGGAAACACCATCAGAGCACTCCTGACATATGGTTGTCAAGCCTCTGCTTAAAGACCTCCAAAGAAGGAGACTCCACCACACTCCTTGGCAGCAAATTCCACTGTCAAACAGCTCTTACTGTCAGGAAGTTCTTCCTAATGTTTAGGTGGAATCTTCTTTCTTGTAGTTTGGATCCATTGCTCCGTGTCCGCTTCTCTGGAGCAGCAGAAAACAACCTTTCTCCCTCCTCTATGTGACATCCTTTTATATATTTGAACATGGCTATCATATCACCCCTTAACCTCCTCTTCTCCAGGTTAAACATGCCCAGCTCCCTTAGCCGCTTGAATCTGCTCTAAGGGATATCGTTATTCTTATTGACTTGGCTGTCCTGTTTTGTTGCTGTCACATTTCATGACGTTTTGCCCTGAGCAAGTCTCCCCAAATTTACCATGGATTTTGATTTCAACTGGCTGAAATTCAGTGACAATTAAATGTGCAATGCTACAACAATTGCATGGAATTTCTCTGATGTCTTTGCCTGAGCACCTGTCTCTTAATTTTGTCTTTAAAAATTGCTATATAGGCAAAATCTAGCAACTCTGACCTAATAACATAGTCGGAATTTTCAAAGTGTCACACAGATTTTAAGAGGCAATATTGCACCAAGCACATTAAAACTTGGTTAGATTAGCAGCTTCCTTCTTCCACCTTTAAATAAATGTTCCTTGTGAAAACACTTAGGCTAGAAAAAATCACAGACCTTTGCAAATAAATACATGTTTTACTCACAGAGTTTCAGAAATTACATCAGACAAGTCTCCATCTATTGGCATTAAAACAAATGAGTTTTTGCAATGAGTTAATTTGTGCTCTCCCACCCCACCCACAAAATAAAGTCACTGAAAAGGAGAGGTCTTTTTTTACAGAATTGGCAGAAACATTTGCAAAAGCTGTGAGCAGCTTGGGCACACCTTCTTTCATTTCCTTTGTTTGTGTGTAGAGAGTTCTCTGTGAATTTCCATCCAGGCATGTTGCACTCAACAAAGTCCTTCAAGATATTAATGGCAAGAACAAGTGCTTATACCATGGTAGGCAAACTAAGGCCCGGGGCCCGGATCTGGCCCTATCACCTTCTCAATCTGGCCTGCGGACGTTCCGGGAATCAGCATGTTTTTACATGAGTAGAATGTGTGCTTTTATTTAAAATGCATCTCTGTGTTATTTGTGGGGCATAGGAATTCCTTCATTATTATTATTTTTCAAAATATAGTCCAGTCCCCCACAAGGTCTGAGGGACAGTGGACTGGCCCTCTGTTGAAAAAGTTTGCTGACCCCTGGCTTATACCATACCCTGCAACATATAACTGATGAAAATAGGGATATCCTATTCCATCATCATCATCTTATTATTATTATTATTATTATTATTATTATTATTATTTATACCCTGCCCATCTAACTAGGTTGCCCCAGCCACTCTGGGCAGCTTCCACCATATATAAAAACATAACAAACATTAAACATCAAAAAATTTCCCTGTACAGGGCTGCCTTCAGGTGTCTTCTAAAGGTTGGACAGTTACTTATCACCTTGGCTCCACATAACTCCATACCCTCCAACATTTCTTTGATAAAAATAGGGATGTCCTATGGAAAAGTGGGACATTCCAGGATCAAATCAGAAACATGGATGGCTCCTGTAAATCTGGGACTGTCCCTGGAAAATAAGGATACTTGGAGGGTCTGTTATATCACATGATCCCTATGCCAAACAAGATGAGCTCACAAGGATGCAGTCAGTATAAACAGGGCACCTGTTATTCTCATTTCCTTTAAAATAAAATAAAAGTTTATGGTCAGGCATGTGGGGATACTTGCCATGTTACTATCAGACACAACAGAAGCATTTCAGCTCTGCTAGGGTGTCTCCCACATAGAGGTAAAATCAATGGAGGCATTAGCAAGCTCTGGACATGGCAATCAATTGGAACACCACAAATGCAATGTAGTTTGTCTCTCCTACATGCCAACATTCCAGGTTGCTTGAATGAGCTGCCAGTTTCAGAGCTGCAGAATCGGAGCTCTGACTGAAATGTGTACATCAGCAGTGACCTGAAAGATGAACCCTATTTTCAGAAGCACAATCTCAATCATTCAGCCCCTTTGTAGCTCTCCCCCGCACACCCAGGTTTTACAAAATCCCTTTGATTTATGTTCTTTCTAGTAATAATTGAAATGACAGTTATTTCCATGTGGACATAGTTACCATATTCAACAATGTTTACATATCTAGCAGAAGAAGAAGGAGAAGAAGAAAAAGAAGAAGAAGAAAATCCACTCTTTATCAGGCTGAGTGAGAAATGAAATGTTCTCCTGTGGCATTTTATCTGATATCAGAACTTAAATGAGCCCTGAATTCGGCAAGCTAAACAAATCTGCCGAGGGGAAAATGCTTTCTTTCTCTGACACTTCTAACCACTATGCTAATCTCACTTATCACAGTCCAACGCAATGCATATCACAATGAGCCACGCACCGTAATGAATGGCTTTTCTATTTCTGGCGTATTTCTCTTTGAGTGGCTTTGCTCAAGAGGCAAATCCATTAGGTGCTGAAGTAAAAATGTTTTCTCTGGATCCTGTCAAGGTGTCACTATGGAGACAAGTAGCAACAACTTTGTCTTCCTTGCACATTTTGAGACGCAGGCTGAAAAAGAGAGCGGTAAAAATACAGTCCTTTTGGTTCCAGCAAACCAGCCTTGCCTGCACAGATTTCGAAGTATTGCTTATGTACAAAAAACAATTGGTGCTCATGGAAAGAGTTTCCTGGCTCCCAAGCAGTACTCCAGACCATGGGTGTCGCCAGGATTTATACAATTCGGGCAGGGGGCAGAACCAAGCTATCTGCAATGTGATTGGTCAGTTTGTGGAAGCCACACCCATCGCTCAGTCCGGTTGCCAGCTGC